GCGTGCTTGCAACAGTGCTCTTGCAATCCTCCAGCACTTCAACATCCATTGTCGTCACGATGGTTGCCTCTGGAAGTATACATTTTCTTATTAGTATTAATTATTTACATTATTATTAGTAAACAAAATGTATAACAGAAAAATTTTTAGGCACAAACAACGTTAATTTTATTATAAAACGAACGTATGTTTCTAATCATACGCGACTCGTTTTCAGTAAGTTTTAACGTAATAATAATGTACATGTAATGGTGTGATAAAATGCGTTCACTGAATGAGGAATCATTAAAATCTTTAACCGAACGTGAAGCAGTTTAGCAATTTCCATCTACCATTTTATTGGTTAAAGCAGTATCTTAATTTTTAGAACACCAAAGTTTTGCATATTGTTAATGTTGAATTTGATTTATTTAATTTATGGACAAGACTTGATTTGTTTTGCTTTGGCTTAATTTATTTTATTTTCAAGTTTTGCAAGCGAGAACGGCGATTCCAATAATTATGGGTGTCAACATTGGCACATCGATGACCAATACATTAGTCAGCGTGGCACAGAGCGACGATCGATCGGCATTTCGAAGAGCTTTTGCTGGTGCGACGGTTCACGACATGTTCAACATACTGACCGTGCTCGTTCTGCTCCCTCTGGAAGTTGTGTCCGGTAAGTAGACCCATTGATTGTCTGTTGTTTAGAATGCGGAAATTGTCGATTTAGGTTATTTGTTTCATTTGACGAGTCTGATTGTAAGCAGCATGAATCTCAGCGGTAAACATGGCACGCCGCCTAAAATGCTGCAAGTCATAACCGAGCCTTTAACTGATCTCGTCATTCAGGTAAATGCAATCGGTGCCGCCATGTATACTGTCAGATTCAGTCGTTCTTTACTCCTACTTCAGTGAGATCTAAATTCGATTTATGGCAGCGTTAGTGCCAACTATACATTGACCGTTCTTAATGCGACGTGCGCCTGTCTTTGCATTGTCTCTTTAAATTTATGCTTTTAGTTGGACAAGACTCTGATTGAGAATATCGCCGTATCAGCCGTTAATGAAGACATAGCTAACCTGTCTTTGGTGAAAAGGAAATGCGGCCTCTCGTCAGTGAACAATTTTACGGTTGCGACTTCCGTCAACAACGAAACCGCTGATATATTCAACTTCACTGTAGTAGATCGAAGCTTTAAATGTAATCTTATTCTTTCTCGACTTTACGTAGTTGCATCGAATCATTTCAGGCCATCATCTGTTCGCTAATATCGACTGGGCGGACTTGACGATTGGCTCAGTATTGCTGATTTTGTCGTTGATAGTGCTCATCAGCTGTCTCATGTGCATTGTCAAGCTGCTCAACAGCATGTTGCAGGGCCACGTTGCTTCCCTGGTGCATAAAACCGTCAATTATGACCTGCCTGGCTGTTTTTCGTTCTTAACCGGGTACGATGCGCAGTGTTATGTGTGATTTTCTTTATTTCATGCGACATTCGTCAATTCATTCATGGTAGTTCGGCTTTCACAGTTGAAAGGCAGATATGTAAAAATGTAACAGATGAATTTCTGCGTGCGTATTTCCCATTTCCATGCTTAAGTCTGCTGTTTGTACGATTTAACAACTAAGAGTTCAAGCAAGTATATTAAATAACAAATGTTGGCGAAGACGAAATGGAGATTATTTTAAAAAGCAGCAGTTAACGAACTCATAAATCAGAAGGCAAGAAGCATGTTTTTCACAGTGTAAATTGCCCGGCTTCGTTGGCATAAATCCCGGCTTGTTTCCAGAACAACTGTAGAATTAACTTGATTAAGAAGAAAATAGTCTTCAAAGTATTATCGCGGAATCAGTAGATTGCTGTTTATGTCATCGTTTTCTGTGAACGGTAAGATCACGTCTGACTTGCAATAATTTCCGACTGATATTTAGCTAACGGCGAATCGAAAGTTTTCAAAAAATCTGCACAAAATTTTTTTGACACTCTATGCCGAAAAAAGGAAATACTAAAAAAATACCGTTTCTTCCTTTATATCCGAAATGATCAACTTTAATGCCCAAACAGAACGTTGAATATGCTGAACTAACAGTATACCTGAAACAACATCACTCTGTTTGGGTTTACGAAATAGCTATGCAAAACAGTATCTCCTTGTGAAGTAGCATCCTTAGAAACTTTTACTCTTTTCGAAATATGATTCATTTATATGGCACTTCAGTTAATCTACATCTTTACACAATCTTGCCAGCATTGTCAATTGTACTTGCTATATAATGTCTTCTGAAGTTTGATCCAATCCAACTCTATTCAAAACGTCGGAATTTATAAGCTGTGTAAATCCTTTTAAAACTAGGGCGACATAGAGCTTTTGTCCCGCATAAAGAACTGAAGTTCTTCAGAATTTTCAAAACAAATGATACAGCAACGTGAGAAAGTACGTAAAATGAGAAGTTAAATTGTTTCATTTAATTTTTGACTACTTTTTAAAACGGTTTTCGATTCTGAGCAAGGGATGTATTGATTTACTGTTTGAGTATAGCTGCGATTATCCCCAACAGAACAAAGGTTGTTGTCTTCTGACGCTTTTCGCTGTTTAAAATTGGCACTTTCCTTCGAATTACTTTCGATGTAGTCATATGAGGCAACATTGCCCAGAAGACGAAAACTGATTAAAAACCATGATGAAAAACCGGTTTGCACACTTATATTTCCTTTCCTAAAACAGACGATAGATGTGACAAAAGAACTGGGCGATGCTTGCAGATGAATGATAGCATCTGACAGAAAGGATGAATCACTAATTTATATTAACCCGCGAAAAATTTAAGTAATGATAGTGAAATATTAAAGCCGTATTTAAATAATCACTTCTGGCTGGATGTTTTGCTTGATTATGGGTGTAATGATTTTACATATGAATCGCGGAAAATAGTTTTGTGGTAAAAGTTTTAGAGGTCTCATTCAGCAATGGATCGAAAAAGTTTACTGATGATTGGTTGAAGCTTAGTGGTTTACCATCTTCTGTAAATAAGCACAACTTCATATTGAGCTTCCTTGACCTCTGTGGCAAGATTGAGTTTTCTACGCGTTAACTGATAGTGTCATTGTCTCGGATAAAGGTACGGCACCTTTCTCTGTGTGCCCAGACAGTTAAGAAGTCAGTCAAAACCAGATTTCATGTTGCGGTCTGTGCATAAACAGTGCATTTGTAAGACATCGATGCACGGTAAACATTGTTCGTAAAAATGTCTTTCGCAGCAAATTTACCAGACTCCTCGATGTACGTTCTTTGGCTAGCTTATTACACCGATTTCGATATTTTTTCCTTTTTTGTCGAAGCGAATAACACGTCGAAGAGTCAGATGATGAAAAACAGACGAATTTCTCTTTGTACGTACTGTCTTTCGGCAACAGAAATTTTTTCTGCAGTAAGTGATCTCTGAGAACTGTCATGCGTGCATCCAACTAACGGGCTTGGCTTTTGTAGTCCTTCACTGACAGGGGTGTTAATATCCTAAAGGTTTCTGTCGAGCATTTTTGGATGTCAGTTTGGACGATCTCGAGGAAATCTTCATCCTCTTCATCTTCCATCGCCGCTTCTTTTGGGTTGCGGAGTGAGACACGTCAGACAGGGCTTCCAACGTTTCCGATCCTGTGCCAGAGTCTGAGCTTCGGCAGATGACAACTGGGGTCAAGAACAGACTCCTTCCATATATTTGCACCAGGTCGATCTTCGCCATCCCATGGACCTTCTGCCGGTCAGATTCGCAAGAAACAGTTGCTTAGCCTTCCATTCCAGAGACATTCGCAACACGTGGCCAAACCATCGCAGCTGTGACTTCTCAATCTGGAGAAGCAAAGGCTGTATTCCAAGGATCTTCCGGATGTCACTAGTCTCGAGGAAATCTCGAAAGTAAAATAGAATGAATTTATATCCATTCACACCAAAATCAGGAATCTGATAGATTAGGTACCATTTTAGATGCTTCTGCTGCTTCCTTAACAGATGTCAGATGTTTTTAGAATTTATTTTCTGTTACAA